CTTTTGGAGTTCGAGTTTAATTAAGGTTGGTTGTAGTTATAATTCACTTATGATTTACTTAGGTTCTAATCTATTTTGGTTCTGATCTACTGCGGATCTGAATGTGGATTTTTTTCTTGTGTGTTTAATTTCTGTTATGCTTGCTTAATTTCTTCTATGTTATTTTCTTTTCCTTTTTTTTGTTTTTGATCTAACCTCCAAAATATCTGCACTTGTAGACAAAATTGGTAAATTTGGCCGCAATATTTACAATGTATTCCTTTTGCGCAATATTTAGATGCTTAATTTCACATTCGAAAGCAGGAATTATTATTATTGGATTCGATATAATCCTGTGTGGAATTTTTCGTTTCTGTTTGTGTTCAATTACTGGGGTTAGAATTTAACTAGAGTTATCTATACTATCTATTCTATTATATTAAAAATGTAGTGGGTTTACCAATAATTTTGAATGACATTTATTTTTTTTAATTTATGAATTCATTATTTAGCAAATGACAACAAGGGTTTTTGGGATATATGAAGTTACTGTTGCTACAAACACTTTAGTGAATAATCTCAAACCTTAGCATTATTTCAGCTAGAAACATGCAAGATAAGCGAGCAACATTCTCTTAACCCAACCTAACAACTGTGAAAAGCTTAAACGACATTATCATCTTTATTGGGTTCAACTAAGCCTTTACTAATAAAGAAAAGGATCCAAGAAGATAAACCAAATTTTACAACCAGCAAGGCATTACCCCAAATCTTTGCATTCAGCTACATAACTTCTTGATGGAAAACAAAAAACTAATACATTAGAATTGTTTTGATTCTGCTTGCTTTTCTTCAACTAATATAGGTGAAAGGCCTGAAAATTTAGTATAGAAATTGAGAGCAGATCATAGATGAAGTAAAAAGGCTAGCTTGGTTTTTTTTTTGAATCTGTACCGCAATGTATCACACACTTTGAATATATTTTTTTTATACTTGTATATTGATTCTCAATTGTGTTCAAATATTTGTTTTTTTTTTTTGTCATTTTAGAAGCCACTGTATTATTGTAGGTTTTGATGTTCAAATCTGTCTAAAAACTGATAGGTAAACGTCTTTTTTTAAATGTTACTTGATGTGTTGTGGCGTGCAAAGACGATGTTCATAATATCATTTTATTTATTGGGTTGTTTTTTCAAACGTCAAAAGCTAGCCACGTTAATGTTCAATTAGGAGGTTACATGATTCAATTTGGATGAAGTCGTTCATACTTCAGATACTCTTTTTATTTTTTTATTTTTTTCCCTCCATACTTCAGATATTCTGCATGGTGTATTATTACAGTTTGCACTAGCCATAGAAATATATATGGCAAAAAATTAATTAATGTTGATGTGCTGTGCGTATCTCCCACTCGTATCTTGTACTGCTTTTTTTGGTTAATTATTACAAGACTGGTGATACTTTAGTACTTTGGAATAGTTTTAATTACAATAACAGGTTTACGAGCATTTATAGCTAAACTTCAATCGCCACAACATTGTTAAGCATATTTCGATTGAAATTTACATAAACCTTCCATTTAACAATACTTTCTTGCTTTATCATGTTATAGGGTTCGCGACAATCGATATGATCTCTAAAGTGTCAAGACTTATATTATAGTTATATTAATAATTCCTTTGATAGTTTCATAACAGATGTTGTTGAAACGCACAACACGCAAATCAGTTCCCAAACCATATGAGTTTAAAAAGTTTGTTAAGGATAACAAAATTATTGAAATTTCATCAAGTGACGATGAAGGAGAGAAAAAAAATGTTAAATGAGGGTCACTCAACCAACAATCAACCAACAAGCAAGCAATAGGTACTTCAGCTCGACTATATAATGATGAAGAAGAACCATCGATTGAGGAGTATTATGATGATGAGGAGGAGAGCTCTTATGAAGTTAACAAAAAAATGAAAGTTGAGGATTCAAATTCTGATTATGTCCCTACCAAAAATGCTCCTACTACTGCTGAAGATAATGTTCCTTTTACTGCTAAGATCAAAGATGAAGAAGAAGCGGAAAAATTGTTTACTGAAGCTATGGAAATTCTAGCAGCTATCTGGAAATTTTGTCAGGAGAAAAAAAATGAGTTGAGACAAGTATTAGAAAAATAAATGTCAAGTCAATAAAATAAATTTAGGACTATGAGTTTGTGAATCATGTTGTTGGAAAATTTTATAAATTTCAGTTGTTTTTATTAGCTTAAATTATGTGAAAAAACTTATGTTTAGCTCTTTATATTTTTTACCATCAGCTTTATGAATGATATGTTTTTGTGTGTTTAAAATGTGTGCTCTATTTTGTCTGCTTTATTAATGATACTTCAATTTTAATCATTTATGATTTATGATTTATGATTATGATAAGTCATGGTTTTCAAATTTATTAGTTCATCTTCAGCGCTTCACAATTTTTTGGCCGTTGTCTATCTGAGGTTTCTTTCTAGATGAAATGTTATGACCTTTTGTAGGTCTTCAATATAAAATTGAACAATTGATACCTTGAACAAATGCATAAGAGATAATACTAACTTTATATTTTTGTTTTTCTTTGTAGGTATAAAGCTAGGTCTAAAGATTAAGAACAACCAACAACTACAATAAGGAAAACAAGGTACATTTCCTTTTCAAAAGTAATACTTTATATAGTTCGTATAGTAATTATAACATATTTCATTAGAATACCACTAATCTCATGTTTTATTAGTGCTATTTTATCAAGAATACCACTAATCTCAGTTTTATTAATTTTTGGCCAACAAGGTACATTAATTAATTTGGGTGATAGATACCAGGATATTCTGCATGCTATTTCATTAGAATGTAGTGATAGATACCAGGATATATAAACATGTTTATTTACTTGTTTCCTGAATTTGCTGATGTGTCATGTGTGTCACACTCCAAGTGAATACTCATATAGAGGGTGCACAGTAGAAGGATATTCTCTGATATGTATATTGGTCCCATGAACTTAAGACCAGAGCAGTTAGCACTTTTAAATAGTAGTTGAGTTTGCTTGAACTGGATCAGTTTCAAGATAATGGCCTTCTGGAAACTCCTTTCTCTGGATCTGAAACATGTTATCCGATCCTTGCATGATCCAGAAATGTGCAAACTAAGTGATGTTTTAAGGTAATTGCTACGCGGAGAAAGCCAGGGCAGACATAGGCATGATGAGCCACCTCTACAATCCATTTAAACCATTTCTTTCCTACTTCACTAGGTTAACTGTTACCATGACGAGGATGCCAATGTTCTAAATAGGTAGAGAGTATGTGGCACCCTTAGTTGATAGCCTGCAGAGGTTGTTCGGTCTAGGAGAGGGTCTTTTATGTAGAATATAACCTATGAACTCAAGAATCAATTGTAGGTGGCATTTGTTTCAGAGAGGTATTTTGAAAGAAGTCCATAGTCATGCTCGTGGGGAGCAATTTTTGTATGGGACCTCTGGGTAAAATCTCGTTTGAGATGGACAGCGTGTGTTAAGCCATATCCAGGTCTTGTCTATTGGAAATTCATTAAATCCAGGTCTTGTCTATTGGGACGGACAGCGTTTGTGCTGTGAGCTAATTATTTATAGTGATTTCAATGACATTTTCATTTACTTTGGAATGTTTGTATTATAAGCATATCAACCTGTATTACTTATAGTTTAGAACTCAAAAAACCCTTAGTAAAAGACAATGAATACTATGAGTCTACTTGATACTTTGTTGAAAACTAGCACTTTACTTCTGTAGGCTTATGTTAAGTTATTGGAGCCGATGTGTGTGTTTGTGATATATATATAAGCATGTTTTGATTGAATGGGGACACACGATAGTTTTCTTATTGCATTTGATCTTTTTTTTATTTTAATACGGCGGTTAATTAATCGTTGAAGAAGTGGGATGCATTAGGACAAGTATTTGGTTTTAAACATACAAGTGTAATTTTATGATATTTTTGAATGTAGTTGAATATAATTGGAAGTGTTTTTTGATTTTATTACTTTAACTATTTATGCAGGCTCTTTTTACTTGTTTGTGTCATTTCTCTTATGTTTTAATTTAGTATGTAATAATACTGTACATGATTCAAAATGAATAGTAATCCTTTTAAATGATAGTGTTGAGGTTGTTCGATGTACTTTTTGTCTGTTATAATGCATTGGATTGAGCTCTGAGGGAAATTTCCTTCATAATTCTGTGTCGTAGTGTGGTATCCAAAAATCATGTTTCAAGATTAAAGACGTCCCGAGACAAACCTTACTGTTGATGATTTACGAGATTACACAACTGCATTTATTATGTTCTACCATGAGACATCTGCTTTATACGAGAGTTCTTACACATGTTGAATCTCAGGCAGCTTGCTTTGTTTGCTTGATGGATGTTTGATGATTTCAAAATCTGTCAGCTTAAACTTTAGGTGTAGTATGTAAAAGTATTCATAATATTAGTGCAAGAGGAGGCATGTTAGAAATTTCCATCTTAACTCATCGATTGCAGAGTCTGAGGTACACTTTGTGACAACATACAAGAGCCTTAAGCATCTTTTATGCATAACAACAGAACCAATAAAGTGCTCGAACTAGAATTTCCATGTATAGGCTGTAGTTTCATTTGTTTTCTCAGCTAAAACGCTTAGTGATCCTTTATTTGTTTAAATTTCATTATTTTGTCTGTCCAAATCTTGTTTATTTTTATAGGGGTGCTAAATGGTTCTTGGATACTAAATGTGCTTATCCTTTCCTCTGTTTAATGCAGGGAAAATGAACAATTATCAAAGTATGGATACACCAAGTCAGCCTGAAGCATCATGCTGATAGAGCTTAAAAAATTGATTGAAGCAAATCCTCTCTTTCGAGAAAAATTACTCTTCCCATCTATGAAAGCTTCCCGACTGAGAACTCTTATCAACCAAAGGTACATTTGTAAATATTTACATAGCCTGCTACATGTCTTTGTATTTCTCATCCTTTCTATCTTACGAGGGCAAAGTGCTTCATAATTTTGCCTTTAAGTAGTATAACGTGCAGACAATTGCCTATCAAATTGGATGTTGAGTTATGGTTGTTGGTCATGGCAGTTTGAATTGGCAGCATCAACGCTGTAAGAATCCAAGGCCAAATCCAGACATCAAAACATTGTTCACAGACCATATCTGTGCCCCTCCAAATGGAGCTCGTGCCTCAGCAGTCTCTGTTCCACTCGTAGCTGTTCCAAAGGCTACTACGTCATATACACCTATATGTTTCCACTTTTGAATGTGGGTTTAAGAAGTTAGCCAGTTCAAATTGTGGGTGAGTAAGAAAATATTACCCAGTTGTTAAGCTTCATATACTACCAACGTGTTGATATATGAGAATGTTATGAGATGATGTTTGACATTTATTTATCTTGACACTATTTCAGGTGACTGGAAACCAAGTTGCAAAACTCGCCTTTCATAACGCTGTGATTAGGGTAAAAACGAATTCACTCAGGGGTCTAATCACAGTTCAGTGATAGTACAAGGGGGTCTATTCTTAACCATACAACTACAATGGGGTCTGTGTGCAATTGGGTGATGACACTGGAGGCCAATCTGCAATTAAGAACTGATGTGGGTTTAAGAAGTTAGCCAGTTCAAATTGTGGGTGAGTAAGAAAATATTACCCAGTTGTTAAGCTTCATATACTACCAACGTGTTGATATATGAGAATGTTATGAGATGATGTTTGACATTTATTTATCTTGACACTATTTCAGGTGACTGGAAACCAAGTTGCAAAACTCGCCTTTCATAACGCTGTGATTAGAGTCTGTAGCTGGCATCCATACTAACCTATGCTTGTGAGCTCTTCTTGGAATTGTCAAATTGCTAGATGGCAATTCTAGGGCTCTTGTAATGTTTGCAGGTTGCAGAGCTCTTGGTAAAAATGGGAACAAAGGAGGGTATTTTCTTGGTGAGATTCATCCTGTGGTTGCTTGGCACAAGTCTGGGGACCCTCCTTTGTGGGTCCTCCCTCAGCCTTCGCAGAGAGTTCTCATTCATTAACAAGTTCTCAGAGATGACAGTGGATAAGAGAGAAGCGGTTCTAAAGAGATGGAGCAAGGAGAAATCTTTTGTATTTTTAAGGTTGGCATTTCTCATGAACAAGTCCTTCTGCTTGTTTGTCTTCTACTCAATGGTAAAGTTTAAGCTCAAAAGCAGGAATTCTTTTTTTTTCAAGTTGAGTCAACAAATTTTGATTTCAGGGTAATATAGATACAACCCATGTACTATAGGAAAATAGTCAACAAGTACCTCTAAATTCTTTTATTAGCACGAATTTATATATTAGTCGTCTGTATTTGTCCTATATGGAACAAGGAGTCTCTCTGCAATACACGAAAGACCAGAAGAATTTTATGAAACATATTGACGTCACATGTGACAAGTATGTATAATGCTGAGAAAACTTCGTTAATTTTTAGTATATGTCCTAGAAATACAAGATCTTGATTTGGTTTTTAAGTGCTCTTGTATGCAAAGAAGCAAATTGACGGATATCATAAAAATAATTAATTTCAACCTTTTCCCCCTTCCTTAGTTACTTTATGCTCCCATTTGAAGGTAATTATGGAAGTGGTGTCACGTCCTGTTTATAGAAGGTACATAGTCCTTTTAACTCTATTAAATTGGCACAACTGAAACTTTAGAAATATGAAATTTATCCTTGTGATAGCTTTGATTTCAGAAACATTTTTTACAGCTTGTGGGTTGATTCTCTAATGTTCTGCAAAATGTCTAGATGGCATTTATAATTTCTCATGACATGGTCCAAATTATTTGATAAGAAGATACACTAACAAAGGGGATCAACGTAATGTATTGCGAGATCTTTATCATCTACACTACCCTAGCCGATGAGAGCTCAATTCCTTTGTAAAAAATATTTAAGTATGATTATGGTGTAAATATTTGTATGCATCTTCTCAATGCAGTCAGCTTACATTGCCATGTAAAAAGACTGAAACAATGTTAGAAACCTGAGAAGCCAAATCATATTTTTTGCTTTCTGTTATGCTATTAAAATCATATTGTCAAAATACTTCTACCCTAGGTTTTCCTTCAAGATATCTGATTGGTTCGTGCAGGCAAGTTAAAGTGTTTTTGGATTCAGGAGAGAGATGTATTATATCAGAGGTTGCATTCATTTTGATACCTGAAACTCTTAGAAGCATGTGTTATATACTGCAACTTAACTCCTACTTAAGTTTGTCATGAAAAAACACTGCACATCTTGAGCTCTGTGTAATGATCAATAATGAACAAAACAACAAAGGTTTTTTAATCCTTGCATCAAAACATTGGGTTACATATGAAATGATTATTTCAGCAACATGAAAAACTCTCAACTAATCCTACTGTTTTGTCATGCTTTCTCAACTATCTCTAAAAATACAAAACGAAAATCAAAACATTTATCATCCCCTCGCTGCATAAAAGGAGATTGCAGCAAGAACAGTAGTTGCCGGATACAACCACATGAACATTTAACGTCCCCTCACTGCAAATTTTTATAACCTTATTATAATAAATTTAAAAAATTACCACGTGTATTGCACGTGCAATCCAACTAGTCACCTTAAGTTCGCAACTACTTAACAATTCTTCATGAATGAGCAAGGAGGTGTCCAATGTGATACAATTTATAAAAGTGGGACTTTTCTTCTTCAAGATAGAAGATTTAGATCTTAGCTTATCTGGTATTATATCACAGCATTCTTGATAAAGGAGGAATTCTCTGCGGAAACACATGTTTGAATAAGGATACAGGACATAAATTTTCTATATTAACCAGAAGCAGCATTCATGAACTCGCTATTATAATACATATGTGCAAGCGATGAAGTTCTCTGCTAAGATCATAAGAAGGCACGCTCAACATATTGGATATGAACATCTTTTATTGGCCAAGCACCTACCCTCAACGTTAACTTTGGAACTTAGCTTTACTATCTCTGAATAAAGGCCATAGAGCGGATTGACTCCGAGACCTACCCACAATCCAACCTGACCTCACTTACATCGGGACCAGCTTCAGTGGCGCTTCACAACTTCTATCAGAGATAGTTTTCAGCACCAACTCTTCCCAAATTTTGATACAATTGACAAAAATTGGTTCTCCGTGTCAGTATACTCTTTTTTTATAATTTGTTCCCAAATCTGTAAGTCAAATTTTAGTTCACTTCCAAGAGCAAGAGAGCGATAAAGGGGGGAGGATAATTTTGATAATGTTTCAACTTGATAGTGTACACCATATTGAAATAACACCTGTTATGTTGATATAGAGTTTGCCATATTGTCATAGCGTAGGGTTACATCGCGTCTGTGCTATTCAAAATGTTATCTAGTGTTTGAGGTTTCCTACTGTACATAGGTCGAAATAATCTGAGCCACATAGCACATCTTTTCAACGCTACTTTCAAGCTGCACACGCAAAGAAGCACAACATAAGACTGCAACATTATGTATTAATGGACCGCTAGACTGTGGTGTTTCTATGTGCAGGTAAATGCTGCTTTGATTGAGGCTTTGAAAAAAGGCACAAGCTTCGGAGCTCCATGCTTTCTAGAAAATGTACTCGCCGAGATGGTTATTTCAGCCGTCCCAAGCGTCGAGATGGTCCGGTTTGTCAACTCCGGTACCGAAGCATGCATGGGTGGCGCTCCGCCTCGCCCGCGCCTTCAAATTCGAAGGCTGCTACCACGGCCACGCCGACGCGTTCCTCGTCAAGGCCGGCAGCGGCGTTGCCACCCTTGGCCTCCCTGATTCCCCCGGCGTACGTCCCAAAAGCTGCTACCTCCGAAACCCTAACAGCTCCTTACAATGACCTTGAAGCTGTGAAAAACCTCTTAATTTGAAGCCCACAAGGGTGAGATTGCTGCAGTGATTCTTGAGCCAGTAGTTGGCAACGCTGGCTTCATTGTACCGAAGCCTGGTTTCTTATCAACCCTTCGCCAAATATCAGAAGAGGACGGTGCACTTCTGATATTTGATGAGGTGATGACCGGGTTCCGGCTTTCTTACGGTGGGGCCCAAGAGTATTTCGGCATAACTCCGGATTTGACGACTATGGGCAAAGTCATCGGAGGTGGGCTCCCTGTTGGTGCTTACGGCGGAAGAAAAGACATTATGCAGATGGTGGCTCCGGCTGGGCCTGTTGGGAATTTAACGCCTAAATCCCCTAATGCAACGGAAACACGGTATAGAGAACAGTACACCAAGATTTACGAGGTTCGGCAACTGCCTACGTCCTCGGGAGCCACACAGATAATTTCTTATTAATCAAACAAGAAATTACAAATCAAGAGCAAATCCCTAAACTGGGATTTCTCAAATAAACACTGTAACTACAGTGTTAATAATTAAGGGTATGAACCCTTTCAATTCTCAACTTGAGAATAGATGAAGAAACCCACAATATATATAATCCCCTCTTCTTAATTCTCTCTCTCTCTCTAAATCTCTTTTCTTAATCTCCCCTCAAACAACGTTGAAGCTGGGGATTAAAGGGGGAAAATCGCTGCTGCGATTTTAGGGCAGATCGCCGCCGCCGCCAGAGAGAGAGAGGAAGAGGAGGGGGAAGCTGGCGACAGCCTGTCGCCAGCGTTCGCTTCGACGCCAAACTCGAGCGAACGCAGAGGTCGCTTCGACGCCAGCTTCGCACGAACGCAGAGTTCGGACCCCCCCCCAAAAAACGCAGAGCTCGCCATCGCAACGCAGAGCTCGCCATCGATCCTGTGACGCAGAGTTCGACCATCGACGCAGAGCTCGCCATCGACGCCAGCTTCGAACGAACGCAGAGCTCGCCATCGACGCCAGCTTCGAACGAACGCAGAGCTCGAGGCTTCGAGCTCGTCCTGTCGCCTGGACCTCGCCGCCTGTCGCCTGGACCTCGCCGCCGCCATCCTGGAGCTCGTCGGAGCTCCTCCGCCGCCGGAGGTTGGTATCCACCCCCAACCTAACAATTTTCTTCCTCGATTTTATGTCTTTTCCAGTTTCAACACGTCATCTTCCAACAGGGATCTGATGAAGTGGTACCGAAGCGCAATATGCTTCGTTCTGGAATGAAATGCTGAATTCTTCGCCAAGTGTATCGCACTCTGACTATCACTGTGCAAAACATTCTTCTCCTGTTTGAATCCCAGCTCTGTCAACAAAACCTGAAGCCATATCATCTCTTTACTGGCTTCAGTCACTGCAACATACTCAGCTTCTGTAGTGGATAGGGTAACGATCTTCTGTACCTGTGACATCCAACTAACAACTGTAGTTCCAACGGTGAATACATAGCCGGTGGTGCTTCTTCGGTGATCAACTTCACCGCCGAAGTCTGCATCTACGTACCCTTGCACTTCTACCTCTCCCTTACCAAAGTGCAAACACTTCTGTGTGATTCCTCGTAGATATCTCAGAATCCACTTGACCGCTTCCCAATGAGCTTTTCCTGGATTCGACATAAACCGGCTGACCACTCCCACTGCATGGCCAATATCTGGTCGCGTACAGACCATTGCGTACATCAAACTTCCAATAGCTGAGGCGTAAGGAACCTGAGCCATACTCTCTTTCTCTTCTTCTGACTGAGGAGACTGATCCTTCGATAGACGAAAGTGGCTGGCCAAGGGTGTGCTCACAGGCTTGGCGTTGCCCATGTTAAATCTCTGCAAAACACGGTTGATGTACTCCGTCTGAGATAACTGCAAGAGACCTCTCTTCTTATCTCTCGTGATTTGTATTCTAAGAATCTTCTTCGCTGGACCCAAGTCCTTCATGTCAAACTCCTTGGACAGCTGCTGCTTCAAACTCTTGATATCCTCCATATCTGCTCCTGCAACCAACATATCATCAACATACAGCAGTAGGATGATATAACTGGACTGATATCTTTTGAAGTAGCAACAGTGGTCGGCGTTGCACTTCTGGAAACCTTCCTTATGCATGAAGCCGTAAAACTTCTTGTACCACTGCCTTGGGGCTTGTTTCAGGCCATACAAGCTCTTCTTGAGTCTGCACACCAGGTTCTTCTTCTTTTCTTCTGAGAAACCTTCTGGCTGGTGCATGTATATCTCCTCTTCTAGATCTCCGTGAAGAAACGCCGTCTTCACGTCTAACTGCTCGAGATGAAGATCTTCAATTGCTACAATACTCATCACGGTCCTGATAGTATTTAGCTTCACCACGGGAGCGAAAATATCGGTGTAGTCAATTCCTTCCTTCTGCTGGAAACCTTTGACAACTAGCCGGGCTTTATATCTTCTGGAACCATCCTGCTCCTCTTTCACCCGGTACACCCATTTGTTGTGGAGTGCCTTCTTACCCGTGGGCAACTCAGCTAGTTCCCACGTCTGGTTTGATATGAGAGACTTCATCTCATCTTTCATTGCAAGCTCCCACTTGCTCGCATCTCCACACTGACAAGCTTCATCAAAGCTTTCAGGCTCCCCACCATCTGTCAACAACAGATAGTTCATGTATCTCCTGTTGGGTACAGGAGGACGAGAAGATCTTCTTAATATCGGAGCTGGTGCGTCGGGCTCCTGCGCACCATCTTGTCCAACAGGCTCTTCTTGCTGAGGACCCTCTGCATTGGGTTCTTCCGAGAGGTTACTCGGGACATCATCTGCATCTATAAATGTGGACTCGCTCTCTGAGTCGTCAGTCTTGTGCATGTCCTTGTACATCACCTTCTCGTTGAATATCACATCTCTGCTCCGGATCACCTTCTTGTTTTCGTTGTCCCAAATGCGGTAGCCGAACTCATCTTCACCATAGCCGATGAAAGTGCATTTCTTTGACTTGGGATCAAGCTTATTCCTGCCTTGATCACTAATATGCACGTAAGCTACACAACCGAAAACTTTTAGATGTGAGAGTTTTACCTCCTTTCCGCACCATACCTCCTCTGGTATTCTGTGCTCCAATGGAACCGATGGACCTCGGTTGATCAAGTAAGCTGCTGTGTTGACCGCTTCTGCCCAGAACTGCTTCGGTAGGCCTGACTGTACTCGAATGCTTCTGGCTCTCTCCGTCAACGTTCGGTTCATTCGCTCAGCTACACCATTTTGCTGAGGCGTGCCGGGCACGGTTCTCTCCATTCTGATCCCGTGCTCATAGCAGAACTTCTTGAATCCGGTGTCTTCATACTCACCGCCATTGTCGGTCCTGAGCTTCTTTATTCTCAGACCGGTCTCATTCTCGACCATAGCTTTCCATCTCCTGAAAGCTTCAAATACTTCTGACTTATGCTTCAGAAAGTAGACCCACACTTTCCGAGAGTGATCATCGATAAAAGTCACGAAGTAGTGTTTTCCACCAATGGACGCGGTGGTTGTTGGTCCCCAAACATCTGAGTGAACGAGCTCTAGCTTCTGCTTCCTGGGGGTTCTGCCACTTGTCTGAAAGCTGACTCTCTTCTGCTTTCCAAGTATACATTCTTCACACATATCCATCTCCACTGACTGCAGTCCTGGGAGTTTCCCCTTTGTGTGCATGATTTTCATCCCCTTTTCACTCATATGACCGAGTCTCTGGTGCCACAGCTTTGAAGTCTCATTGCCTGCTGCAACTGAGATCGAACAACGTGCACCTGCTGTCATATACAGGGTACCAGTCTTCTTGCCTCGGGCAATCGTCATTGCGCCCTTTGAGATCTTCCAATCATCTCCATGGAAGGTTGTGGTGTATCCTTCGCCAGCCAACTGGCCTACGGATATTAAATTCTTTCTCAGGTCGGGAATATGCCTGACATCCTTCAGCTCCCATACTGACCCGTTCAACTTAATTTTCACCACGCCTTTGCCCACAATAGCACATGGTTGATCATCACCAAGTGATAGGTTGGGGGTGGATACCAACCTCCGGCGGCGGAGGAGCTCCGACGAGCTCCAGGATGGCGGCGGCGAGGTCCAGGCGACAGGCGGCGAGGTCCAGGCGACAGGACGAGCTCGAAGCCTCGAGCTCTGCGTTCGTTCGAAGCTGGCGTCGATGGCGAGCTCTGCGTTCGTTCGAAGCTGGCGTCGATGGCGAGCTCTGCGTCGATGGTCGAACTCTGCGTCACAGGATCGATGGCGAGCTCTGCGTTGCGATGGCGAGCTCTGCGTTTTTTGGGGGGGTCCGAACTCTGCGTTCGAACCTGACCAAGCGGTAACCCATTAGCAATGACAGCCGGAATTCACACTCTCAAGCGATTGCAGGAAAGTGGGAGCTACGAGTACTTGGACAAGATAACAGGCGATCTAGTTTCAGGGGTTCTGGAGTCCGGGAAGGAAGCTGGACACGAGATGTGCGGTGGGTACGTTAGGGGGATGTTCGGGTTTTTCTTCACCGGAGGACCTGTTTATAATTTCGAGGATGCCAAAAAGAGTGACACTGAAAAGTTCGCGAGATTTCATCGGGGGATGCTGGAGGAAGGCGTGTATTTGGCTCCGTCGCAGTTCGAAGCAGGGTTTACGAGCTTGGCGCATAGTTCGGGCGATATTGAGAGAACCGTCGAAGCAGCTAAAAGGGTTTTTTCAGAGGATTTGATTCTTGAGTTAACTGTAATGTTGTATTCTCTTTTCAATCATTTTGGTAGTGTTAAAGTAAGAGAGAGAGAATCTTGGGTAAATTTCCCTTGAATTGAATATTGAGTATGCACATATATTTATACAAGTAGAGGAGTGTGAGGTTTGTTCTCCCAAGCAATGTGAGACTAAAACCCACTACAATACACTATTATCAACAGCCCCCTTCAAACTCATGTTGGATCAAACAAAGTGAGTTTGCGTACAAGAAACTTGAACCGATGAACAGGTAAGGCCTTTGTAAAGAAATTTGCAAGCTCGTCAGCGGATGAAACATGAGGAAGTAGAATTGTATTGTCCTTGATAACTTGGTGACGGACAAAATGAGCGTCGATCTCAATATGTTTGGTCCTTTCATGAAATACTGGATTATTAGCAATCTGGATGGCACTCTTATTATCACAGTAGAGAGGAGTAGGAGTCGTAACAGAAATACCAAAATCATTGAGAAGACGACGAAGATGAATAATCTCTTTAGCTGTTGTGGACATTGCACGATACTCTGCCTCAGTACTGGAAAGAGCAATAACATCTTGTTTCTTACTTCGCCAGGAAATAAGGGAATCACCAAGAAATATACAATAACCTGTGGTAGACTTTCTGGTAGTTGGATCACCAGCCCAATCAGCATCAGAATATGCACAAAGCTCTAACTTAGATGTAGCAGGAAACAAAAGAGAGCGAGTGCTAGTACCCCGGAGGTACCGAAGAATCCGTAATAAGACAGCATAGTGTACAGAACGTGGAGCAGTAACAAATTGACTGACAATACCAACAGCATGAGAGATATCTGGTCGAGAGATGCACAAATAGACCAACTGACCAACAAGATGTCGATAACGGGTAGGATCAAATAGAGGTTCACCGTCAGTAGAGCAAAGTTTGACATTCTGCTGGAGTGGAGTATCGACAGTTGCATTATCAGTTAGCTCAGCTTGATTTAGAATATCTGAGAGATACTTCTGTTGAGACAGTAATACACCCCGCGGGCCTTGAGAAATTTCTAGACCAAGAAAATACCGAAGAGATCCAAGATCCTTCATGTGGAACTGTTGTTGCAACTGAGATTTTGCGTATTGTATACCTGCCATATCATCACCTGTAATGATCATATCATCTACATAGATGAGTAATAAAACTCTGCCGCGCGATGTAGTGCGAACATACAGAGAAGTATCTTGATGACTTTCTATAAAGCCCGCTTTGAGCACGACATCGTGAAAACACTCAAACCAAGCGCGGAGTGTCTGCTTGAGACCATAAACAGCACAGCGAAGAAGACATACATGTCCCAGAGGAATATTTGACCCTGGAGGCGGTTGCATATATACGGTCTCTGATAAAGAGCCATGAAGAAAAGCATTTTTGACATCCATCTGGTATAAGGGCCAACGATGAGCAGCAGCGACCGCAAGGAGAGTACGAACAGTGGGAATCTGAGCAACAGGAGCAAAGGTCTCCTCATAATCAATACCTTGTTGCTGAGTAAAACCTCTAGCCACTAAACGAGCTTTTCGACGTTCAATGGTGCCATCAGGACGAAACTTGACCTTATAAACCCATTTACTGCCAACAAGAGAGATCCCAGGAGGACAGGGAATAACATCCCAGGTATGAGTTAGTTGAAAGGCTTGAAATTCCTCAGCCATAGCCTGTCGCCACTCTGGAATTTGAACTGCCTCTTGGAAGGACTTTGGCTCAACAATAGTATGAATGGCAGCAAGAAAGTTATGAAAGATAGGTGAATAAGAAGTAACAGAAGCATACCGGGCAGGCATGACATTTGGACGTTTGCCTCGACGAAGAGCAAGAGGAACCTCAGGCAGGGGAGATGCTGGCGCAGGTGCGTGGAGATCAGCATGAAGATCAACAGTATTTTCTGGAGTGAGAGTTGTGTCCACAGGATATGGATTAGATGGTGTAAGAGAAGACTCAGGTGAGGAAGAGTCAACAGAAGGAGAGGGAGAGATGTCAGGGAGATCTCGAAAGGAAAATTGAGGTGAAGAAGTGGGTGATGCAGTGGACGGGGAAGCATGATCGGTAGAGTGGAGGAAATTAAAGTCATCAGAAGTAGAATAATATGGAGAATCCTCTTCGAACTGAACATGACGAGATATATGAACTCGACGAGTTGCGGGATCATAACAACGATAACCTCGATGTTCTGAACTAATTCCTAAATAAACACAAGAAACAGCTCTGGGAGACAATTTATCACGTTCGTGAGATGGCAGAAGAACAAAACATCGACAACCAAAAACGCGAACTAGATCATAACGGGGAGGGTGAGTATAAACACGACTATAAGGAGTAGCACCGGAAAGAGGGCTAGATGGAGTGATATTAATGGCATGAGTCGCGGTTGTAGGCGTCAAAAAATGCTTACATACATCCAAATACTACTCAAGACAAAGAAGAGGCGATAAACGTCATTCTCTTAATCAAAGGGGATCATTCAAAGGAAGCGAGACAACACAGAAGAACAATATACACATCATCAGGCAACACACTGTGGCGCGGCAGGACATGGTGCCGCGGCTAAGGCGCGGCAACCCATGGTGCCGCGGCTAAAGCGCGGCAGCCCAGCCTATGGTGCCGCGGCTATAGCGCGACAACCTTTGGTGCCGCGGCCATTATAGGGGAGCGCTGCGGCGGTTACAAGACAGTTGTACGATGATTATTTGAAGCCCACGTGGTAGCATACTAGAGATAGAACGTGTGCTGACGTAGACAAGCAGTTAAACCACGAAAAAGGGTGGTTAAAGGTCGTGGAAGAACGGTTTCAAGCACGATAGAACGTGCTGGTAACCGTCTCTTTGGCCGCGGCAGCCCACACTGCCGCGTCAATAA